CACACCCTTTTATTTCAGCGAGTAATAAAACATCAGGATAAGGGTTATTTTTGGTAAATTATACAAAAGAAAACAAAGAGGGCAGTTTCCGCTAAAAAAGTTGATGAAATTATGCCAAATTAAAAGCCAAACTTTTGTCCTTGCGTTTTTCTCTAGCATGTCCAAAGTACTGTTTCAAAGCAGACAAGGACTGTTTGATTACTGAAGCATTAGCTAACCCTCCTCGAGCCGATGCTGTTCGTGTCCCCACGCTGATTGTGCACATAGCTGGAAGCGAAGTGACCAATAAAGGCGATGATGTGGGTGCGTCTAAATACCATTGGCTGGCTGGGTAACCAATTTTCTCTTCTGCAGGCATTACTGAGTTCTTCAATATCTGCTCATCTGAGAGCATTTTTGCTTGAGTTGAAACACCTCCCACTACTGTGACTATTCAACACGTTGTCGAGTTGCAGCATTTGCAGTGATTTGCAGGCCGTATAGTCGTTAGTTTACTCTTGCTGACTTGCACGGTCTGCATTGTTGCTGCATCTGTCAAGCCTCTCCATTCTGCTTGTCTTTAGCGAATCCATAAGGCATACCTTTAATACAAACTTTGTCCTGAAGTTGACACTTGTAAATGCTTCTCCCTCTTCATCATTTCTGTACGCTATTACTGAGATATTCCACTGAAGATGTGCCACTGCTGATTTGTCTGCGCCCGCCATGTGAGCGCTGCACCCGGAAGGCCATTTCAATGCATGTAGACAGGTTGTAGTCGTCAGAAAGAGGTTTTTTGCATCGTAAAATCACAATCATTGATTACTACAATGCTCAGTCCTCGGCGTCAGTTGTATTCTCGATGGATTTAGTGTAATGGAATGTTGTATCTTTAAAATATACACGGAACGGTTCATTGTTTCTGATAGAAAAATTATCGACTGGAATAGGGAAATTAGCACACTTTTATGTGAGTTTAACGCACTTACTTGTCCACGCCGTCTCTATTCTTTGGGTGGGTGAGTGCGTGAGAGCCTAACTTCACTACGCGTAGGATTCATAACACCAAAGCAGCATTGTCCTTGCTTTTGTCGCTTTCTCTCCGTATTGATACAGTGCTTCTAATTTGACTGCTCTACTGGCTGTAAAGTGCATAAGGAGGCGACACACGTGGCGAATCTCGAGTGGTTAAGGCAGTCTTTCTTACGTCCCGACCTTTGTGATTCACTGTAGGATAGTTAGGATGGAAGTAGTTAGACGCCTAAGGAAAAGGGGATACGTCAAACAAATGCCTGCTCATTGACAATTGCCAGTGATACTTCAAGTCGCCTCAGAGTGAAGTAGATGAGAGAGACCACTGTGTGTGCAAACGCCGACATTGAAGGCAGACTTCGAAGTGAAATGGACTGGCAGTTCCATTGGTTTCGAGGGTGAGGAGGGCACCATCCCAATTGGGCTAATTTCATGGACTTATGTGAGTCATTCTGCTGCGTCCAGTCAAATTTACTAAACTCAAATGAGTTAACAACCTTCCTCCAAAGGTTGCCTTAGTCTCAAAATAAGCATCTTGCAATCGGTTGGGACAATTTCGATTGGAAGTTTTATTAATATATGGAACAAAATGACCTAAACATGCATTCCACAGGCATTGATGGGCACTAATTCGCAAAAGAGAAATGGGTGAGTGGATAAATGGATGGATAGATGGCAAAATTAGGGGGGAGTAAATTGGTCTACCAGTAATTTTCCTCATCAACCTAGTGACCCCTCATGGCAAAACACGAAGTAGATTTCGTCCGCAGTCTACTTCATTGACGACTTCCCTTAGGAAACGACAAACACCCGTGGGACTGCATTCTGTCTATATGCATAAATGGCATCTCTCAAGAGCATCCACTACAGAGTACGTACCAATTAAGCAGTGGTGGTGCACATACGATGCAACATCTCCAGATTTTACCCATTTACAATCACAGAGTCGAGTGTTAAGGGTGAATGGAGGCAAGGAATTGCATCTGTCAAATTTGTGATGAAATACCCTTCAAATACTGCTTTGTTTATTTCAGCTGTTGGCAAGCGGAATGGGAAAGTTTGATTGATTTAACATCAAAGCACATCAAGCAAATCAAAGGGAGTTGCCTACCTACTACACGAAATGCAAATTGTTGAGGATTCAGAAACTGAGCACCATGTGATAGAATCACATGTTTGTGAAACCATCCAAATCACGCCAACCTGCTCCATGTAAAAAACGGAGATTGGACTGCCTAATGGATGCCAATAGAGCAATAAGGCAATTAACTAATGACGTTTTCAGCTAAACATTTCTCCACTGCGATTGACCTCTTCACGGCTGGTAATGTGCACAATCACCGTCGGAACGCCTATAACAGCAGCTAGATGAGAGGTTGAGCTGAATCTAAATTTGACCCTCGTTTACCTCCACTTCATATTTCATAGGCTAATCTAGTGAATCAACTGAGGTGAGTTCTTTACTTGTTTCACTTCACTCAAAATGATAATGCGATTTTCTTGCCCCTCTTTCACACACGCCTATCCTCTTACCTCTCCCTCCACAACATAGGCTGTGCTATTTCTTGTGGCTTGAAGCTCCTTCTTCAAATCTTCAATGCAATCCTCTTTGTAAGTAATGTTATAAGAATGCGATAGTACTCACCACTTCTTGCCGAAGCAGCTCCATAATTAGTTTCCATTTCAGGTGGCATTTCTGGTCCTTGCTTTGTTTGAAATTCTACTGAAATACTCTAAATCTATACTCCAACAGCTGTTGTCGATGATTTTTGATCAATTAATTATCGGTGATGAAGATTTACGCCAGTTGGCAAGATTCATCACTGAATAAGCAGGTAGGTGGCATCATGTGCCATGCGATGCCACTTCGGTATTCACCAGTTCCCTTGCAATGGCACAATCCGGTAATAGCTTGTCTCCCACAGATGGCATCGCTATAATCCTCGTTGTGGTCGGACTGACGCTGCCAGCTCTCTGTCTCATCGGGTGCATTGTTTCGTGTTATGGGTGCAATATACTACTGAGGATTGTAAGTAGGATTGAGGGAGGTGAACTGGCAACAATTAAATTAAACAAATTATTCACAATCAGTTTTCTCTTTTCCTTACTAGTACGCCACCATCCTGATTGTTTTACTTGTGGCACAAATAGTCGTTGTCTACGTGGTCTTCTCTGATCCCACCAGATTTACTTCTCTGATTGTTAGCTCATTGGAAACCCTCCTCCAATGTTATGGTGAAACAGATGATGAAGGAAAAATGTCATCTGCTATCTGCAACGTAGCTATAATGGTATCTAAAAGGATTTTTCCCGTTTTTAAATGGTATCATTTACATTCCTGTGAATCGAATACTTTTTATACCCGATAGGTCCGACATGTTACGGCATGGATGGCTAGGGCGATTTTCACACCCTTTTATTTCAGCGAGTAATAAAACATCAGGATAAGGGTTATTTTTGGTAAATTATACAAAAGAAAACAAAGAGGGCAGTTTCCGCTAAAAAAGTTGATGAAATTATGCCAAATTAAAAGCCAAACTTTTGTCCTTGCGTTTTTCTCTAGCATGTCCAAAGTACTGTTTCAAAGCAGACAAGGACTGTTTGATTACTGAAGCATTAGCTAACCCTCCTCGAGCCGATGCTGTTCGTGTCCCCACGCTGATTGTGCACATAGCTGGAAGCGAAGTGACCAATAAAGGCGATGATGTGGGTGCGTCTAAATACCATTGGCTGGCTGGGTAACCAATTTTCTCTTCTGCAGGCATTACTGAGTTCTTCAATATCTGCTCATCTGAGAGCATTTTTGCTTGAGTTGAAACACCTCCCACTACTGTGACTATTCAACACGTTGTCGAGTTGCAGCATTTGCAGTGATTTGCAGGCCGTATAGTCGTTAGTTTACTCTTGCTGACTTGCACGGTCTGCATTGTTGCTGCATCTGTCAAGCCTCTCCATTCTGCTTGTCTTTAGCGAATCCATAAGGCATACCTTTAATACAAACTTTGTCCTGAAGTTGACACTTGTAAATGCTTCTCCCTCTTCATCATTTCTGTACGCTATTACTGAGATATTCCACTGAAGATGTGCCACTGCTGATTTGTCTGCGCCCGCCATGTGAGCGCTGCACCCGGAAGGCCATTTCAATGCATGTAGACAGGTTGTAGTCGTCAGAAAGAGGTTTTTTGCATCGTAAAATCACAATCATTGATTACTACAATGCTCAGTCCTCGGCGTCAGTTGTATTCTCGATGGATTTAGTGTAATGGAATGTTGTATCTTTAAAATATACACGGAACGGTTCATTGTTTCTGATAGAAAAATTATCGACTGGAATAGGGAAATTAGCACACTTTTATGTGAGTTTAACGCACTTACTTGTCCACGCCGTCTCTATTCTTTGGGTGGGTGAGTGCGTGAGAGCCTAACTTCACTACGCGTAGGATTCATAACACCAAAGCAGCATTGTCCTTGCTTTTGTCGCTTTCTCTCCGTATTGATACAGTGCTTCTAATTTGACTGCTCTACTGGCTGTAAAGTGCATAAGGAGGCGACACACGTGGCGAATCTCGAGTGGTTAAGGCAGTCTTTCTTACGTCCCGACCTTTGTGATTCACTGTAGGATAGTTAGGATGGAAGTAGTTAGACGCCTAAGGAAAAGGGGATACGTCAAACAAATGCCTGCTCATTGACAATTGCCAGTGATACTTCAAGTCGCCTCAGAGTGAAGTAGATGAGAGAGACCACTGTGTGTGCAAACGCCGACATTGAAGGCAGACTTCGAAGTGAAATGGACTGGCAGTTCCATTGGTTTCGAGGGTGAGGAGGGCACCATCCCAATTGGGCTAATTTCATGGACTTATGTGAGTCATTCTGCTGCGTCCAGTCAAATTTACTAAACTCAAATGAGTTAACAACCTTCCTCCAAAGGTTGCCTTAGTCTCAAAATAAGCATCTTGCAATCGGTTGGGACAATTTCGATTGGAAGTTTTATTAATATATGGAACAAAATGACCTAAACATGCATTCCACAGGCATTGATGGGCACTAATTCGCAAAAGAGAAATGGGTGAGTGGATAAATGGATGGATAGATGGCAAAATTAGGGGGGAGTAAATTGGTCTACCAGTAATTTTCCTCATCAACCTAGTGACCCCTCATGGCAAAACACGAAGTAGATTTCGTCCGCAGTCTACTTCATTGACGACTTCCCTTAGGAAACGACAAACACCCGTGGGACTGCATTCTGTCTATATGCATAAATGGCATCTCTCAAGAGCATCCACTACAGAGTACGTACCAATTAAGCAGTGGTGGTGCACATACGATGCAACATCTCCAGATTTTACCCATTTACAATCACAGAGTCGAGTGTTAAGGGTGAATGGAGGCAAGGAATTGCATCTGTCAAATTTGTGATGAAATACCCTTCAAATACTGCTTTGTTTATTTCAGCTGTTGGCAAGCGGAATGGGAAAGTTTGATTGATTTAACATCAAAGCACATCAAGCAAATCAAAGGGAGTTGCCTACCTACTACACGAAATGCAAATTGTTGAGGATTCAGAAACTGAGCACCATGTGATAGAATCACATGTTTGTGAAACCATCCAAATCACGCCAACCTGCTCCATGTAAAAAACGGAGATTGGACTGCCTAATGGATGCCAATAGAGCAATAAGGCAATTAACTAATGACGTTTTCAGCTAAACATTTCTCCACTGCGATTGACCTCTTCACGGCTGGTAATGTGCACAATCACCGTCGGAACGCCTATAACAGCAGCTAGATGAGAGGTTGAGCTGAATCTAAATTTGACCCTCGTTTACCTCCACTTCATATTTCATAGGCTAATCTAGTGAATCAACTGAGGTGAGTTCTTTACTTGTTTCACTTCACTCAAAATGATAATGCGATTTTCTTGCCCCTCTTTCACACACGCCTATCCTCTTACCTCTCCCTCCACAACATAGGCTGTGCTATTTCTTGTGGCTTGAAGCTCCTTCTTCAAATCTTCAATGCAATCCTCTTTGTAAGTAATGTTATAAGAATGCGATAGTACTCACCACTTCTTGCCGAAGCAGCTCCATAATTAGTTTCCATTTCAGGTGGCATTTCTGGTCCTTGCTTTGTTTGAAATTCTACTGAAATACTCTAAATCTATACTCCAACAGCTGTTGTCGATGATTTTTGATCAATTAATTATCGGTGATGAAGATTTACGCCAGTTGGCAAGATTCATCACTGAATAAGCAGGTAGGTGGCATCATGTGCCATGCGATGCCACTTCGGTATTCACCAGTTCCCTTGCAATGGCACAATCCGGTAATAGCTTGTCTCCCACAGATGGCATCGCTATAATCCTCGTTGTGGTCGGACTGACGCTGCCAGCTCTCTGTCTCATCGGGTGCATTGTTTCGTGTTATGGGTGCAATATACTACTGAGGATTGTAAGTAGGATTGAGGGAGGTGAACTGGCAACAATTAAATTAAACAAATTATTCACAATCAGTTTTCTCTTTTCCTTACTAGTACGCCACCATCCTGATTGTTTTACTTGTGGCACAAATAGTCGTTGTCTACGTGGTCTTCTCTGATCCCACCAGATTTACTTCTCTGATTGTTAGCTCATTGGAAACCCTCCTCCAATGTTATGGTGAAACAGATGATGAAGGAAAAATGTCATCTGCTATCTGCAACGTAGCTATAATGGTATCTAAAAGGATTTTTCCCGTTTTTAAATGGTATCATTTACATTCCTGTGAATCGAATACTTTTTATACCCGATAGGTCCGACATGTTACGGCATGGATGGCTAGGGCGATTTTCGTACGTTCAAGAAATATCTACCATTTCTCTTACAGTTTTGTGCGCATTTATTATTTCTCCATCTCTGCAGACAAACTGAACAATTCTTTACCGCCACCATGTTGTCATGTGACGTCTGATGCTTGCAATGCTAAGGCAGCCCAAAACACCAGTATGCCGGGATGCAGAGACAAAATTGTCAAATTTACCACGGACAACATGATGACATTTTTGTATATGTCCATTGTTGCCATTCTGTTGAAGGTGAGTTCCAGTGCAGTTCTATGCCATGCCAGTAAATGGGGTGATTGTTGAACCATTAGTGAAGCCCGCCTTGTTTACATTTTAGGCTGCACTCATCGTAGTTGTGATGCTCGCAATTTGTTTGTAAAGTAGCAGTAGAGGCAGCAGAAGATCGCAGCATATGTTAACAGGACCCCATCTTTTTACTTTCAATCCCTCTTTCACGCCAACAACCACCCACTATTTTCCCATTATCAAGAAATGCCCAGTTCTATGCTTTGCTATGTGCTAGTCGATATGTTCGGTGAACATGGGGATTGGCGTTTGCTTCGCTTCTGGGTGTTTAATTCAATGCAATGCTTTTGAAGAGGTTAGACCGCAAATCTGCCTCCATCACTCACTCACTCACTGTGGATGAATGTAATTGGATTTATCAGGGCCATCAGATCTCGTATCTCACAAGACTGTGCTTCAGTAGCTCGGTGTATATTTGGGTTGGCGATTAGGTAGATGTGTGGATGAGCGATAAATTGATGTGGTGCAGACTGCACATTCGACTATTTAGTGGAGTAAAAGGAAGAGAAGGTGTGAATTAAGTTGGCATTGAGTGGAATCAATTTAGCCGACATGACAGGCACTGTTGGTGGGTGATGTTGGAAGGATGATTAGGAACACTGGAGCATTTATACCATCCCCAAATGCAGCATCCGCTTCACAGAATAACATGTAAGAAATTCCACTATGTGCCGTCTTGTGCACACTAACAGCATTCCTACTGCCGAGAGCGCAGTGCACACCAACTTCGTGTTTGGCCCAGAAATCGCGGCCACCAACTATTCTTCGGAGAGGGAAAGAGCCAAGCATGAGTGCATATACAGAAAACGTGGCTGGTTCTACTTTCAGGTGCTTCCACTCTCATGACTTCTTTTGCAGTATTTGCAACATCATGCTCTTGTTGACTTACTCCTACCTGTCAACTACCATTTTAGGGTGCACTTTGTGTGTGCGAATAAGTTCAGGGCAAGCCAACTACTCACTGACAGCTATAACGCCTGAATGTACAGCACATGCTTGCTTATCCATACTCGTCAGTAAACGCTGACAGGTGGATGAATAGAGCTCCCTAATGGAGTACTCCATTTCTGAGCTTGATGAGCTCGACTGGATTCAATTCCACGTGATTAGATAGGCACCAGTGTGCAACCGAGAAATTGATTGGTGGGTGAATGGGTGGGTTGATGGCAAAGTCAACAAAAAGTAGATAGATCTATCGCTTGTTATCTTTATCAACCTGAGCGCCTTAAGAGGCATTGTATGAAGAAGATGTCGCCAGCAGTCTAATTCATTGGCCACTTTGTTTACGAAACAACAGATGCGTTTCTGACTGCATCCTCTATATGTGCGTAAATGGCATCTTACTCGTGTTTCTTCTGCAGTGCGCTTACCCGCCAACCAGTGGTGCTGCACAGACGATGTAGCTTTTCCACATTTTACCCATTCACAATATCGGAATCGGGTGTTAAGGGTGAATAGAGGCAAGAAATTACATCTGTCAAAATTGTGATGAAATATCCTTCAAATGCTGCTTCGTTAATTTTCACTGAATGCACTCCGAGTGGGGAGGATTGACTGAGTTAACAGCAAAGCACACTGAGCAAATCAAAGAGACTTGCCTACCGACGACACGAAATACAAATTGTGTGAAGTTCGGCTACTGAGCACCATGTGATAGAATCACATGAATGACAGATCATCCATCCCACACAAACGTGCTCTAGGTGGAATAGGAGATTGTATTGCCAAATGGATGTCAAACAGGCAATAGACCAATGGCATTTTCAGATATCCCATTCTCCCATCCAATTGGCCTTTCCATCTTTAGTGATGTGCACAATCACCATGGGAGAGTGAATAACATTGGCTCTAGGCGAGAGTGAGCTGACTTTAAATTT